TCACTCTGTTTCACAGAAGAAAGTGACAACAGAGACAGTATTTCTGAAAACAGCTCATTCCTGTGTGTTTGTGTTGTTTTGGTTATGGGTTTGGTATTGGCTAGATGGTGCTTTAATAAATAAAAATCCATCCTTTGATAAATAAAAAAATCCATCTTTTAAGGATTTTAATTACTGACAACCCAGTTGATCGTGTGGTTGCTTCTGGTGACATAAAAGCCATTAATAAATGTTCCAAAAGTCTTAACAGCCCCATGAATGGGTGTGTGAACTTCACACACAGATGGACTGTTGACAATGAGCTGGTGTGTGTGTATGTTGGGTGGGGCAGGGGAGAGTTAGATATAGCGCCAATTTGGACCTGGGGCAATCCAGGCTCTGCTGCTGCCTTTGTTACTAAGTACGCAACCTTGGACTAGTCCTGAGTTAATTTCCTCACCTGGAAAAACAAGGGGGTGGTTTGCAGTATCTGCATGATTTTTTCAAGCTCTAAATCTTAATGATCAACACAGGATGGTCTTTACCAATAAGGAAGTGTTTTTAAGAAAACTCCAAGCAGCATCCTTTCATGTCTTTGATAAAATACTCCAGTTTCTGGGGAAAAATAATTTGTAACATATAACATATAACAAATTGCCATATTTACAAATGTTTCTTGCAATTCAATAAAAGAAATGAACATAGAGTTTGAAAAAACAATCCATCGAAAAATACAAGTAACTGTTAACCTAAAAGAATGTCCAACCTCATTAGGAATCAAATAAATGCAAATTAAAACAAAGTATCTTTTATCACCTATCAAATTTGGGAATTTAAGAAACTGAAGATGTTGTAGAAAAAGAAACATATATGCTGTTAAAAACATTTATATACTGTTGATGTTGGTATTAATATAATTGGCATGGTTATTTTGGATGACAGTTTGTTAATACACATTTAAATCTTGAAGAATGTTTATACCCTTTGGTCTAGCAATTCCACTTTTAGAAATATGTCCTAGGGGAATAATTAGAGATGTGCACAAAATTTGCATCCATGTAAATTCATGACAGTGCTTTGTTTTTAAAAATAGCGGTGAAAAATCAGAAGCAAATGGTATGTCCAAGACTAGGGGATTACTAAAAATAAATAATGAAAGCTGGGCACAGTGGCTCACGCCTGTAATCCCAGCACTGTGGGAGGCCAAGGCAGGAGAATCAGTTGAGTCCAAGAGTTTGAGACCATCCTGGGCAACATGGCAAAACCCTGTCTCTACAAAAAATACATAAAAATTAGCTGGCATGGTGGCATGTGCCTCTAGTCCCAGCTACCTGGGAGGCTCACTTAAGCCCAGGAGATTGAGGCTGCAGTGAGCTGTGGTCTCGCCACTGCGCTCCAGCCTGGGTGACAGAGTGAGACCCTGTCTCAAAATTATAAATAAATAAATAAATCATGATACCTTCAGTTAGTGATATTAAAGTCATACTTTAAGAGTGTATACTGACATGAGAAAATGTTTACAATATGATATTGAGTGAAAAAAAGGTAGAAAGGATACCAAAAGATTATAAAAATGCAATCTCAATTTTAAAAAAGAGTGTGTATAAGACATTGAACAAAGACTAATGGAATATCCTAAATGTTGAATCAGGTTAATTTTTTAATAGTAGTCGTATATGTGGACTTTCTGAATTGTCTTCAATGAGCACATACTGTTTTAAAACTAGAAGAAAGGTGATAAGCGTTTAAAAGAAAATACCCCCATTTTGTGTTAAGATTAAAGAGGCTATAAAATGAGCCCTGTTGGGACTGTAACTGCTTAAACTTCTCTTTGCCTGCTGCCCAGACAGAGCCGATTTATCAAGACAGAGGAATTGCAATAGAGAAAGAGTTTAATTCATGCAGAGCCAGCTAAACAAGAGACCAGAGTTTTACTACTCAAATCAGTCTCCCTGAAAATCCAGAGACTGGCTTTTTTTGTTGGTTTGTTTGTTTGTTTGTTTGTTTGAGACGGAGTCTCGCTCTGTCGCCCAGGCTGGAGTGCAGTGGCGTGATCTGGGCTCACTGCAAGCTCCGCCTCCCGGGTTCACGCCATTCTCCTGTCTCAGCCTCCGGAGTAGCTGGGACTACAGGCGCCCGCCACCTCGCCTGGCTAATTTTTTGTATTTTTTAGTAGAGACGGGGTTTCACCATGTTGGCCAGGATGGTCTCGATCTCCTGACCTCGTGATCCGCCCGCCTCTGCCTCCCACGGTGCTGGGATTACAGGCGTGAGCCACCGCGCCCGGCCCCAGACTGGTGTTTTTTTAAGGATAATTTGGTGTGTAGAGGACCAGGGAATAGGGGGTGCTGATTGGTCAGGATGAAGGATGAAGTCACAGGAAGTTGAAGCAAGTTGTCTTGAGGTCTGGGTGGGATCACAGAACTGGTTGAGCCAGATTACCTGTCGAGTGGCACCAGCTGGTGCATCAGAACGCAGTGTCTGAAAAAATATCTTGAGCCCTAATATTAGGTTTTACAATAGTGATGTTATCCCTAGGAGCAATTGGGGAGGTACAGAATCTTGTGGCCTCTAGCTGCATGACTCCTAAACCATAATTTTGAATCTTGTGCCTAACTTGTTAGTCTCACAAAGGCATTCTGGTCCCTAGGCAAGAAGTGGGCTTGTTTTGGGAAAGGGCTGTTACTGTCTTTGTTTCAAAGTTAAACTATAAACTAAGTTCCTCCCAAAGTTAGTTCAGCCTATGCTGAGGAATGAACAAGGACAGCTTAGAGTTTAGAAGCAAGATGGAATCAGTTAGGTGAGATCTCACACTGTCATAATTTTCTCATTGTTATAATTTTTGCAAAGGTAGTTTCAGGGTAATCATTTATTTAGTGGCAGAGGTCTCTGAACAGGCAGGAGTGATTTGATCAGTCCCTGTGGACTACTTCACATGCAGAGACCACATAGTGGCAAAGTGGCAAAGTCACAATTAGAAATTAAACAAGCCTTTTTTTTTTTTTTTCTTTTTGAGATGGAATCTCACTCTGTTGGCTAGGCTAGAGTGCAGTGGTGCAATCTGGGCTCACTACATCCTCCGTCTCCCGAGTTCAAGTGATTCTCCTGCCTCTGCTTCTGAGGAGCTGGGGTTACAGGCATGCACCACCATGCCCAGCTAATTTTTGTATTTTTAGTAGAGACAGAGTTTTACCATGTTGGCCAGGCTGGTCTCGAACTCCTGACCTCAGGTGATCTGCCTGCTTCGGTCTCCCAAAGTGCTGGGATTACCAGCGTGAGCCACTCTGCCCAGCCTAAACAAGTCTTAATAAAAAATATTCCCTACAATATGGTGACTTTAATTCCTTAAATAGGAAAGGTTAGAGGCAGACTAGATTGGAAAACTTAAGTATAGAGAGACTATAAAAGGTAAAGTCTTAAAAATAGGATTGGGCCCCAGAGTGTAGTGGAGAGAGCTCTGGGCTAAGATCAGGCACGCTGGGCTACAGGGCTTCTCAAACCAGTTGTGAAGGTTGGCCTGCCTCACAGGCTCTCCAGCAACCACTTACTAATCTGTGAAGTTGAGGGGTTTGATAGAACAGTGATTTCCAGACTATGACTACTCCTCCTCCTCCCTCTTCCTCTTCCTCCCTCCTCCTCCTCCCTCTTCCTCCCTCCTCCTCCTCCCTCCTCCACCTCCCTCTTCCTCCTTCTCCCTCCTACCCCCTCCTCTTCCTCCCTCTTCCTCCTGCTCCCTCCTCTTCCTTTGTCCTTCTTCCTCCTCCTCCCTCCTCCCCTTCCTCCTCCCTCCTCCCCCTCTTCCTCCCCCTCCCTCTTCCCCTTCCTCCTCCTCCCTCCTCCTCCCTCCTCCTCCCTCTTCCTCCTCTTCCCTCCTTCCTCCTCCTCCTCCCTCTTCCTCTTCCTCCTCCTCCCTCCTCCTCCTCCTCCCTCTTCCTCCTCCTCCCTTCTCCTCCCTCCTCCTGCCTCCTCCTCCCTCCTCCCTCTCTCCTTTCTCCCTTTTCTACTTCCTCCTTCTCCCTCTTCCTCCTCCTCCCCTCTTCCTCCTCTCCCTCTTCCTCCTCCCTCCCTCTTTCTTCTCCTCCTCTTCATCCTCCTCCCATTCTCCTCCCTCTTCCTCTTCCTCCTCCCTCCCTCTTCCTCTTCCTCCCATCTCCTCCCTCTCCCTCTTCCTCCTTCTCCCTCCTACCCCCCTCCTCTTCCTCCCTCTTCCTCCTGCTCCCTCCTCTTCCTTTGTCCTTCTTCCTCCTCCTCCCTCCTCCTTCTCCTCCTCCTCCCCTCTTCCTCCCCCTCCCTCTTCCCCTTCCTCTCCTCTTCCCTCCCTCCTCCCTCCTCCCTCCCTCCTCCTCACTCTTTCCCTCCTCCTCACTCTTCCTCCTCTTCCCTCCTTCCTCCTCCTCCTCCCTCTTCCTCTTCCTCCTCCTCCCTCCTCCTCCTCCCTCTTCCTCTTCCTCCTCCTCCCTTCTCCTCCCTCCTCCTGCCTCCTCCTCCCTCCTCCCTCTCTCTCCTTCTCCCTTTTCTACTTCCTCCTCCTCCCTCTTCCTCCTCCTCCCTCTTCCTCCTCCTCCCTCTTTCTTCTCCTCCCTCTTCATCCTCCTCCATTCTCCTCCCTCTTCCTCTTCCTCCTCCTCCCTCCTCTTCCTTTGTCCTTCTTCCTCCTCTTCCCTCCTCCCCCTTCCTCCTCCCTCTTCCTCCTCCATCTTCCTCCTCCCTCCTTCTCCCTCTTTCTCCTCTTCCCTCCTCCCTCTTCCTCCTCCTCCCTCTTCCTCTTCTTCCTCCTCCCTCCTCCTCCCTCCTCCTCCCTCTCTCTCCTTCTCCCTTTTCTACTTCCTCCTTCTCCCTCTTCCTTCTCCTCCCTCTTTCTTCTCCTCCCTCTTCATCATCCTCCGTTCTCCTCCCTCTTCCTCTTCCTCCTCCTCCCTCCTCCTCCCTCTTCCTCCTCCTCCTTCTTCCTTCTCTTTCTCCCTTCTTCCCCTTCCCCTTCTCCTTTCTTCTCCTTCTCCTCCCTTCTCCCTTCTTTTTTCTTCTTACTATCTCAGCTTATGGTCAGAAGTCAAGTGACCTGAATTTCTGCCTGGCCAACACTGTGATTAAGATCCGCATAAGTTTCTGGGCACTACAGCCCTGCAGGACCCAGAGAGCACTGGACACACTGGAGCAAACGCGGATGGTAGGTCCTTTGGGGCTGTGCAACACGGTGGCTCTGAGCCTGGCGTGGTTATTAATCCTTAGGTTTTTCCCTCTAAAAAGGGGGCAATGACATCATCCTTATCAGCCTCCCAAGCTGATTTCAAGGCTCCAAAGCTAGGATAGAAGGAAAGGTGCTTTGGCCTCAAGAGCCCCACACCATGATATTCTCACAGTCTAACTTATTTCTTTTGCCCTAGACATCTCTTTTGTGAGAAGAAAGAGAGGAGGGAAGATGCTCTGTGATGCTTCCAGTAATGCTGACCAGTCATGGTGCTGTCACCTCCTCGTCTGTCTTTGCAATCTGTTCCCAACTGAGGTTTCTGTTGCAGTGTAACTGACCACTCCAGGGGCCACTGAGGGCTGTCAGGATGAACTATCCTTCCACCCCAGGCTGTCACTGCCAGGTAAACATGCATCCCTGCAAATGCAAGTGCTGTGTAAGAAAAATGATTACTGGCCGGGCGTGGTGGCTGATGCCTGTAATCCCAGAACTTTGGGAGCCTGAGGCAGGAAGATCGCTTGAGTCCAGGAGTTTGAGACCAGCCTGGGCAACATGGTGAGACCCCATCTCTGTAAGAAATAAACAACAATGACAACAAAAATTAGCTAGCATGGTCGTGAGTGCCTGTAGTCCCAGCTCCTCAGGAGGCTGAGGTGGGAGGATCACTTGAGCCCAGGAAGTCAAGGCTGCAGTGAGCTATGATTGCACCACTGCACTCCAGTTTGGGCAACAGAGCAAGACCCTGTTTCAAAAAAAAAAAAAGATAATGAAAAATGTTTGGCATGTCTGGGCAGACAGCCTCTGGTCCTAGAACTGGGTTGACACAGAGAGAAGTTACCCTACTGATTCACCCTGCAGTGTAAGTGCCTACCTCGTCTGCATGGTTTTCTGAGATCTCAACTGTGTGGTCTTCTCTCTGCTGTTGGGGAAGGCTCACTGAGCCAACACAAAATTATTCTGAGCTAGACTGTTTTGTCAGCTAGCAGCAATTACCCTTCTATCCTCCTCACACTTCCCAACTTCAGATATCCCCGTCAGTCAACCACCGGCAGAGATGAAGAATACATAAAATGACCAAGGAGCTGGGGGAGGAAAGGGTTGGGGTGGCGAGCACGTAGGGCCGGCTGTTGTCAAGGCACTTCTCGCCATCTGCTATTTCGCTTCAGAGACCGAAACTCAGTTGGTTGGGTAAGACTGGGAATGTGATTTTTAGCAATGTGTTCGTTTAAATAGAGCCCCACTATAAAAACAATTTGGAGGATTATGATTCGTTTTTAAATGAGAACTAGTTTTAATGGAATTTTTATATGCATTCCAATCATGGCTAAAATCCACATCATGATCAAAGTCTGCCTGAATTCTTTATGTGCTTCATGAGTTGTGCTCTAACCATTCGAAACCCATGTTTATTAAGTGTGATGCCCTGCATGGAAAGTGGTGGTTTTCTCTCGTGGGGAAGCAGAGTATATTCTTAGAACTGTTATAATGGACTTTATTTCTTGAAACAGTTTGATAAGTATTTATTAAATGCTTACTGTGTGCAAGTGTTGGAGATTCAGACACAAAAAAGATGAAGTCCTGGTTTCAAGGAGTTTGCAGTTTAGTGGGTGTATTAGGCTGCTCTGATTGCCACAACAAAATACCATGGACTGGGTGACTTACAAACAGAAATTTATTTTCTGACAGTTCTGGAGACCAGAAGTCTAAGATCGAGGTATCGTCAGGACTGGTCTGGTGAGGGCTCTCTTTTGGTTTGCAGACGGCTGCCTTCTCCCTCTGTTCTTACATGGCTTTTCCTCTGTGCCCTCACAGAGAGAGATCTCTCGTGTCTCTTTCCCTTCTTACAAGGACACCACTTCTATTGGATTAGGGCCCCACTCTTAGGACCTTATTTAGCCATAATTACCTCCCTAAAGGCCCTATCACCGAATATAGTCACATTGAGGATTAGGACTTCAACACATGAATTTTGGAAGGGAACACAATTCCATCCATAACAGTCAATAAGATAGAATTTTAACTCTGACGCCAGGCACAGTGGCTCTCACCTGTAATCCCAGCACTTTGGGAGGCTGAAGCAGGAGGATTGCTTGAGGTCAGGAGTTTGAGACAAGCCTGGCAACACTACAAAAAATTAAAAACAAAATTAACCAGGTGTGATGGTGCATGTCTGTTGTCCTAGCTACTCAGAAGGCTGAGAGGGGAGGATTGTTTGGGCCCAGGCGTTGGAAGCTGCAGTGAGCTATGGTTGCACCATTGTACTCTAGCCTGGTCAACAGAGTGAGACTATCTCTAAAAATTTTTTATTAATTAAAAAATTTTAACTCTGCTCTGTTATGAGGAGAGATGTATTGGCTATGAACATAACGAGACCCCATCTCTACAAAAAAAAAAAAAAAAAAAGAGCCAGGTCTAGTGCCATGTACCTGTAGTCCCAGTGATTTGGGAGGCTGAGGCAGGAGTGTCACCTGAGCCCAGGAGTTCAACCTCCAATGAGTTATAACCACACAACTGCACTGTAGCCTGGGCAACAGAGCAAGACCCTATCTCTAAAAAAGAAAAGAAAGAAAGAAAGAAAGAAAGAAAGAAAGAAAGAAAGAAAGAAAGAAAGAAAGAAAGAAAGAAAGAAAGAAGGAAGATATAATTTGAAACACCTTTCCCAGTTGACTTTTGTGAATTTATTTGGAAACTTTTGGGGAAAAGAAGAAAAGTTGAATACAGAAATAGATACTGGTATTGTAAAAGGAAAGGGTGGGACAGGCCGCTTCGAAGGATGGGTCAGTGGTGAAAATAGAGCATGCCTTGAATCTAGGATGAGCAAGCAGGGTGACAGAGAAGGGGAGGTGACCTGGGATAACTGAGAGCTCTCTCCACATAGCAAGAAGCTGCAGCTGAAGGACATGGTCCACGAGAGATCCCAGGGAATGGACCAGAGGCAGAAAGACGATCTCGTCAATGTTCTCGAAAACTTGGATTAGGTCCTGAATTTATATTTCTGGTCTTTGGTTTAGGTTAGTAATTAAAAGATGAAAGCACTTGGCTTCCTTGCATAAGTGACTTTGGTTTTGCCATGGCTGTTGACCTGTGATGGCCAACACGGGAGCCCCGAGTCGCATGAGGCTCCTGAGCATAGGGAACCAAGCTCATTGGAAGCGAGAGGCCCTGCAAGAGTGAAATACCTGCTGCATCTGGGGCACTTAATGCATAGAAAAGAATATGAATACCTCATCCATATTTTTTGTATTGATGATGTGTTGAAATAATATTTTAAACACATTAGGCTAAATAAAGTACATTATTAAAATGGATTTTGTTGGTTTCTTTTTACTTTCTTTAACGTGGCTACTAGAACTTTGCTTACACAGGTGGCCCACGTTATGTTTCTGTTGGACGGCGCTGGTCCAGGCCCCTGTTACCCCTACCTTTTGTGTACTATGAGTTACTTTTCTTCCCTCTCTCCTCTCTCTCCAATACCACCAGCAGCAGGAGCAACAAAACACCAGGCTCCGAAGTGCATGCTGGCCACTGTATGGCCTCCCACCCTCCTTGCTGTGGTCGCTTCGGACCTCTGGGCTGCTGTCCCAAATTCCTTGATGATTTTAGCACCTGGATTACAGCCAACGATATTCCTGGTCTCCAACACTATTTCTCAGCAATTTCAGCATCTGTGGATAATTCTTCCAGCCCTGAGGCTCCAGGTTCTGCTCTCAACTCAAATGATCTTGTCCTCCACTCTCCCTCAGCCCTTCTTTTCCATGGTCATGCTCTGCACTTAATACTGATAACCCCAAAACTACACTGCCCCAAGCTCAGTTTTAAGCATCATGTTCTCCAACCCCCACCTCCTCCTTCCCCTTCAGTGCCTTTAGTATGGGGACTTCAATGATTTCTTGACACTGCTGGGACCTCCAATATGTAGCTCCTATTTCCTGTTCACGTTTGTTACTTCCCTCGTGCCCTCACTTTTCTCCTAACCCTGTTGGGCTCCAGAGTCCATTATCGTAGGCCTTCCCTTCTACATGCTTTGCTTCCTTTGGCCCCCACTCTGTGTCGTATCCACCTGGTAAACCTCAACCCTGGTTAAATCCAACTCTCCCCTTTCTCCATACCGGCACCTGGACAGCTGAACCGAGCTGGAGAGAAGCACGGGTGAGGCTGAGTGATCTCTCCCAGGTTCCCGAGCACTAGCCTGGGCGGGCTCTAGGTTAGCCTGGCTGGAGATCCTGTACTTTGTGTATGTCCCTAGCCCTCTCTTTCCCTCATTTATTTCGTGTCTTTCCCTCTCTCCTTAAACCCTTAACATCGGCTGGGCGCGGTGGCTCAAGCCTGTAATCCCAGCACTTTGGGAGGCCGAGACGGGCGGATCACGAGGTCAGGAGATCGAGACCATCCTGGCTAACACAGTGAAACCCCATCTCTACTAAAAAATACAAAAGACTAGCCTGGCGAGGTGGCGGGTGCCTGTAGTCCCAGCTACTTGGGAGGCTGAGACAGGAGAATGGTGTGAACCCAGGAGGTGGAGCTTGCAGTGAGCTGAGATCCGGCCACTGCACTCCAGCCTGGGCAAGAGAGCCAGACTCTGCCTCAAAAAAAAAAAAAAAAAAAAAAACCCTTAACATCTCCTCACTCTTAGCTGATGACCTTGCTTCTTACTTTGCTGAAAAAGAGATACTGTGCATTCAGAAGACAACTTCTCGCCTTGGGCACTCCCACAACCACGTCTACCCACCTCACTGTATCTGCAGCCACACACACAGCCTTCCCCTTCACCGGGTATAAATTATGCTTTGGCAAGGCCGCCACTCCACCCAGCTCTAGACCCCTACTTCCTGACTCCTCAATTGTTTGCTTTCTACTGGATAATTCTTCTCCGTTTAACACCTCTCAACCCCACAGCCCCCAAGAGGGTTGTCTACACTCACTGTCTCCACCTATTCTCCTCCCGTTCTCTCTAAACCACTTGCATCAGGCATTCGTTTTGTCCAGTCTACTGAAAATACTCCTACCAAGGTCAGCAATGACTCCACCCCCATGGTCTATATCAAGTTCCAGGTCTCAGCCCACTTGAACTTGCAGTAGAATTTAGCCCAGTTGATCACACTTTCTTCTCCTCCAACTCATTCTTACTTGGCCTCCCGGGAGCCCTTCTTCCCCAGTTGTCCTCCTGCCTCTCTGTCAGGTCATCCTCAGTTTCCTCTCCTTCTTCCTCCTCATCTCCCCAGCCTCTAACTTTGAAATGCCTCGAGGCCCAGTCCTTGAACCTCTTCTCCTTTTTAATTGTATTTCACGGATACTCTCATCTCACCTCATGGCTTCAAATTCCACCTGTTTGCATACAACACTCACATTTATATCCCCAGGCTACAACTGTCCCCCCAGCTCCTGACCTCCCCTGGACATGGCCTGGCTGCCTCACAGGCTTCTCAAACTCCATAGGCCCTGCTAACCCACTTCACCTGCACCTGTCCATTCAGCAAATGGCTAAACACATATTCTCTCTTTCTACCACAACACATATCTCTTCCGTCAGTGAATCAAATCAAAGACCTCCCACCAGATATTACTACCTCTGCCACAACCTGGTTTATGCTAACATCCTCCCTGTGTCTAGGCCAGTGCCTTCACCTCCCACCTGGCCTCCTCCTTCCTACCGTGGCCCCTAGAGTGTCACCTGAACACAGAGGCCATACCAACGCTGTTCACGCCTCAGCCCCCCCAAGTTAACCACATTTCTCCTCTAAGAACCTCCTGTGGTTTATTGGCTCATTGGGAGTAAAAGCCCCAGCCTGCAAAGCCCATTTGGACCTGGCCGCCAAAGACCCCTGCCTTCAGCACCTGACCATTCTCCTTGCCAGGCCGTTCCTGCCTCACTGGTCTTTTTTGTGGTTCTTCACTCCTGGCTGCCTCCTGCTTCTGGAACTTTGAACTTGCTGTTCCCTTTGCCTGGAATACTTTTCCCCCAAGAACCTGCAGGCCTCGGTCGCCTACTTCCTTCATGTCTTTGCCCAAGTGTGACCTCATGAGTGAGACTTTTCCCATCACTCTATGGGCGATGGAACCCCCAGGTCCCTGCCACTCCTTTCCTTTAATGCTGCTTTACTTTTTTCCATAGCACTGTTTATGCACTGTCAGTTTGGTTGTTGTTGCTGTTATTGTTTTTTGTTTACTGACTGCCTCCCCACTGGAATATAGACTCCAGCAGGCCGGCAATTTGTCTGTTTTATTTACTGCTGTGTCCCAGTGCCTAGAACAGTGCCTGGCATGGGACAAATGTGTGGGGGGAGAATTGGGGGAACATGGTAGTCTTACTTGCAAACTTCTAACAAGGCCCGGTCTCTACAGCAGGCCTTTGGTTAGCCATGACAGGACATGTGAGCGCTCGTCCTGTGTGGGTTCCTATTGGGGTCTCTGTCTTCTAATTATGAAGTAAAAGGAAGCTCTCCTCCAGTGATAGTAATTTCCTGCATCCCATTAGAACAGCAGAGGGAAGTGTCAGTGGGAGAGGTGTGATCGGGCCCACGGAGGCAGAGGCCTCCTTGGCGCCTGGATCACATTGCTGGAAGGAAACACCTGTTTCGCCAACCCAAAGGCTACCTGCTGGCCCAGGATCCAGGCCCAGCTGTACTGAGATCACAGCTCAGGGCCCTGTACATGCTGGCGTTCTGCTGACTCGATTCTGGAAATGTCTAATATCACCAGAGCCATTCGAGTGCCACAAAATAACACATTTATGTATTATTCTGCTTCCGGTGAGCTCATGAGGAAAAGACAGATATCTACTAATTACAAATATTCTTTTGATCAGCCAGCATGGTGGCTTATGCCTGTAATCCTGGCACTTTGGGAGGCCGAGGCAAGTGGATCACCTGAGATTGGGAGTTCAAGACCAGCCTCACCAACATGGTGAAACCCTGTCTCTGCTAAAATACAAAAAATTAACCGGGCATTGTGGCACATACCTGTAGTCCCAGCTATTCGGGAAGCTGAGGCAGGAGAATTGCTTGAACCCGGGAGGTGGAGGTTGCAGTGAGCCGATATCTCGCCACTGCACTCCAGCCTGGTGACAGAGCAAGACTCTGTCTCAAAAAAAAAAAAATTATTTTGATCAGCTTCCTACTGACAAAGTTCAGAAAACAAAGAACAATGTTTTACTACATACACATACATATGCATGCACACAAACTAGAAAAAAAAATTTTTTTGAGACAGGGTCTGCTCTGTCACCCAGGCTGGAGTGCAGTGACATGATCACAGCTCACAGCAGCCTCAACTTCCCGCGCTCAAGCGATCCTCCGACCTCAGCCTCTCAAGCAGCTGGGACTACAGGCATGCACCACCATGCCTGGATAATTTTTGTATTTTTTTGTAGAGATGGGGTTTGCCACATTGCCCAGGCTGGTTCTCAAACTCCTGGGCTCAAGCAATCCTCCTGCCCTGGCCTTCCAAAGTGCTGGGACTGCAGGAGTAAGCCACTGTGTCTAGCCTAGAAAAAATTTTTAAAAGCCAAGGACAAGTTAGATTTGGAACAAGGGAAATGATCTCTGTTGACAGCCTCCTTTTCCTTCTCAGTGGTAGGGTATTTTGTTTTAGCAAGAGGGCAGAGCTGTGCATATATTCATGTTGTAATTGGTAAAATGTGAGGGAAAGTTTCTGAGAATCTTTACTTTGCAGCCTCAAATGATGAGCATTTTTCCTGGTTCGGGTGAGTGCTTTGTCTGGCATCTGGCGATGGTGTTTCCTGCACCGTCTGGCCTGTGGTCTGTGGGGACGTACATACGTCTTGTTAGGGCTCTCCATCTACTCCACACATGGCTTGCGTGGCTTTTGTAGTCTGAGCAGGTGCCCAGCTTTGTCCCAGATATTGAAGCCATGTAAAATAAATGCCTTTTGATTGTTCACACTTTAAGCAATATTGGTACAGTATTAAATCCATTGTCCCAGGTGCTCCCTCTCCTTCCTGCTTATGGCACTTCATGTATTAAAAAATGACAATGGCAGCATTGCCCAAACATGCATTTTGTCATCAAGTCTTAATGCAGTCAGCCTGGTCCCTCAGGAAAATGAATGGAGGCCCAGAAGATGAAATGATTTTCAAAATGCCATTAGGAAAGCTCGGGCCAGAACTGCAAATGGGTCCTGCACAGGGCACTCGGCCACTCTTGCCTGGCCATCTCCTTTTTGGCGCTAAGCCACAAGCACACAGTGATATAGAATGAATGGCTATCACTGGGGATCCAAAAGGGTCATTCAATCAGTTCTCTCTTTTATCAGGTCTAAGTTCTCTTTCTTATCAGGTCCTAAAGGCCTAATCTTATCATTGGGAAAAAGATAACTGTACAGTCTGTTAAACTTTTTTTTAATAACATGAAGATTATGATTTATAACTGAATTTCTCCCTTTTATTCCAAATCCAACAATTTTCATGGCTTTTTGTGTTTGTTTTTGTTTTGGACATATTTACAGAAAATTACCTGAAGAGTTCCAGCCTGAGGCCTCCTCATGGATGGGTTAAATGTGACATCATCTGTTGTTGAGGAACCCACGAACATCTCAACTGGCAGGAACGCCTCGGTTGGGAATGCACATCGGCAAATCCCCATCGTGCACTGGGTCATTATGAGCATCTCCCCAGTGGGGTTTGTTGAGAATGGGATTCTCCTCTGGTTCCTGTGCTTCCGGATGAGAAGAAATCCCTTCACTGTCTACATCACCCACTTGTCTATTGCAGACATCTCACTGCTCTTCTGTATTTTCATCTTGTCTATTGACTATGCTTTAGATTACGAGCTTTCTTCTGGCCATTACTACACGATTGTCACATTATCAGTGACTTTTCTGTTTGGTTACAACACGGGCCTCTATCTGCTGACGGCCATTAGTGTGGAGAGGTGCCTGTCAGTCCTTTACCCCATCTGGTACCGATGCCATCGCCCCAAGTACCAGTCGGCATTGGTCTGTGCCCTTCTGTGGGCTCTTTCTTGCTTGGTGACCACCATGGAGTATGTCATGTGCATCGACAGAGAAGAAGAGAGTCACTCTCGAAGTGACTGCCGGGCAGTCATCATCTTTATAGCTGTCCTGAGCTTCCTGGTCTTCACACCCCTCATGCTGGTGTCCAGCACTATCTTGGTCATGAAGATCCGGAAGAACACGTGGGCTTCCCATTCCTCCAAGCTGTACATCGTCATCATGGTCACCATCATTATATTCCTCATCTTCGCCATGCCCATGAGACTCCTTTACCTGCTGTACTATGAGTATTGGTCAACCTTTGGGAACCTACACCACATTTCCCTGCTCTTCTCCACAATCAACAGTAGCGCCAACCCTTTCATTTATTTCTTTGTGGGAAGCAGTAAGAAGAAACGATTCAAGGAGTCCTTAAAAGTTGTTCTGACCAGGGCTTTCAAAGATGAAATGCAACCTCGGCGCCAGGAAGACAATTGTAATACGGTCACAGTTGAGACTGTTGTCTAAGAACTGAGAGGGAAGTTGTGGATAACAATGGTGGAACACAGGTCATTTTTAGCTTGTGCTTGGAATGTAACTTAAGTATCTCCTAAATGTGATACAGAAGGACATCTCATCCAATATGCATGAGATACTAATTAATGATGAAATTGAACTCTTGTACTGTATCTTCTGGAAATGACCTGTCATTTCTGTACTTGATAAAGACTCTTTCTATTTCTTTCAGCTCTTTTGGCAGCATCTTACCATGAACCATAAAAATGACTCTAGCAGGAAGATTTAGAGATGTGTACGAGACAAGGTAACAAAAGTATTTGTTGGAACTTGAGGAGGCAGCTTGATGTAGCAGGAAGAACAAGGGTCACTTCCTGTGTGACCTCAGGCAAGTTGTTAAACCTCTCAGAGCCTCATTTTCTCACTCACATAATGGTCACGGCAACAGTCTATACCTCCTTGGTCTGCTGTGAGGATGAAATGAGAAGATGAGGCTTGCAAAGCACCTGGCACATTGTGGATGCTCAACAAACATCAGTCTCTCCTCACTCCCTTCAATGGTAGACAAAATATAAATTTCTGTTTCGTAAAGCACACACACACACACACACACAACTCTATCATGTACAGAAGTTATTATGTGTTTTTACACATTGAACGTAAATTTACGAAGGTCTTCTTTTTGCTTGCAGCATGAAAGCTTTTCATGGCATTATCCCTCTATTGAAAAACATCGCGGATGTTATGATCTAAGCAGCCATGTGCTCGTGCATCATTTCAGGTTAAGAAGAAAAACATTTGGCCACCAGTAGAGGGGTTTCTCATGGCTTCCCTTCCCTCTGTGGGAATACTAGATGAAATGAAAGTCTGTGTTTTGAAATCCTTTGATTGCATATAAATTTTTATGAATGGAGTTGAATTTATGACTTCCTGGTGGTGACTGGGATCCTCCTCCCCCATGAAACGGTGGGTTATTTATCGCCAGAGTTCTCACCTGCAGCCAAGTGCAGGTCTCTGCACCTGTTTGCCTCCTCGCCTCCTGAGGCTTTTTTTTTTTTTTTTCATCATACCTGGAAGGAGGCTCAGTGTAAGGGCTAATGAGAATGTGGACACATCCTGGAGGACTCTGATATTTTTGCTTATGGCAGATCCTTGCATGACGTCCTCAGCATCTTTATTCAGCACTCCAGGGCAGGCTCTGCCTCTTGCCTGCCACGAGTTGCCCTCCAGACACCACATGTCCTGGGTTTTAGCTGTGAAGCCCGTCTCAGCCTATAGACTGCATAGCGATGTTTATTTCCTTCTGTCCCTTCTAGGAGTTCCACAAAATGGCAATATGTCACATGATTCTACAGGTTGTAAAATGTTCAAGTCCGTAGAAATGAGCCCGATAGTATTTATTTTAACCATTTGCTCTTTAAAAGGTCAGAGAGGCAGTGATGAAACGGTTCTCTGTTGCTGCTGGTCCTTCCCCATTCTCTTCCTTTCTCAAAAGAAACGATGGGGGGCAGCTTCGCTGAGGGAGCTGAGTCTCTCCCGTCGAGCCAGGACCCCACTACCAGCCAAGCTTGGATGCCGGAGGCTTTTCAGTGGGTGACGACATCTGATTCAGAAACAAGGCAGCTTTGCTTTCAGGAGCCCAGATGGGGTGTGGAGCAGTGACATTTAGAATGATCTTGTTTTTGGTTGAAAACAGAGCATCTTCCCTGGGAAAGAACAGAATATGGAGATCAGAGCGACTCCCCTCTGTTTCCTGTCCTCTCCTGTGTGTGCTGCGTGCTGGCCTCTGGGGTAGGGAAAGGGGGCCAACCTCATCTCATTTCAAAAGGGATCTTAGTCTCAAAGAGGACCCTAAAGACTATTAGATACAAGGAATTTCTACCTAAGGAAAATATGGTGAACTAATAGGAAGCCCCCATTTATTGTTTTTCTGCAGATAAAGTTGGGAAATCAAATGTGATAATGAATATAAAAGTTATTCTAACCTTTTAAAATGATGGCTTACCAAGAGGTAGGATTCAGAGTTTGGCAGGGTTATAAAGACTAATTTCTTTCTCTCTTCCCCCAAATCCATTCCCAAAATGAACTGTAAGGTTAAAACGAAAACAAGAAGATCTGTGTAGATTTGCAAATGTGTAGAGAATACTAAATAATTGGTACCCTTTAGGCATTCAGACAATTTGCCTAAGTCACTGTAGGTTACTAGGTGCCACTTCCGAGAATTCCCTGGGGATAGGGAGGAGATTGTTTGGATAACGCCTGTCCTAACTGAAGAGGAAGGGTTTGTAGTGTTCCTACTACAAAGATTCGTGGACAGCCTTCTCTGCAGAACGCCATGATGTGGACAAGGCAAAGATGGGGAAGTGGAAGCCGCTGTCCTGTGTTGTAGGAGAGAGAGACACCACATAACTAAAACGCCAGGCTGCACACAAGTTTGTTTGACAAGTGTTAGGAACAAAATTGTGTGGCAGAGGTCACCGCAGCAGGGGGCTCTTCCTGCCACCCCCGCACTGCACACAGCCTCTTCTGTTCCCTCCCCTGCCCACTGGCCTTTCTCCTCAGCAGTCGTCATGCCGTGTATTGATTTGCTTATTTGCTTGTTCTCTGTCTCTTCACGCTAGACTATAAGCTCCTTGAGGGCAGGGATGTAACTTTGCTCACTGCTGTAGCCCCAGTTTATCTGCTGTGGCGGTCTAATCCACTGCACCCCTCTCTGGGATGTTTCCCTTGCACATATAAATAGGCTCAAATGGCTTCCACCTAACCGCAAGCCATTCCTTGCCCCATAGTCCTTTCCAGTTTCTATCTCCCCTCCTTCCCTTTCGTCCAAACCACCTTCTGGAAAGGCTCTTCCACACTCGCTGTCCTGACTCTTGCCACAATTCAGCCCTCAACATCCTGCCAGTTGTCTTGCAGTCTGACCATCACAGAGAGATTGGTCCAGATAGGAAGGTGAGTAACTTCCACAGTGCCACATCTGATGGGCTGTTTTCTACCCATGCCTTTTGCGGCATTTAATGCCCACAGTCTTCCCGAAATTATCTCTTTTCTTGGATTCTAGTTTGCTACATTTTTCTCCAGGTCTTTTTGAATCCTGTCTTCCCAACTAGAATCTTGTCACTTCTTTCCTCCCTCTTCTACTGCTCCTCCCTTAAACGGACACATTTTCCATAATTCAGTGGCTGGGCCTCCACTCTCCTCTTTCTGAGAACTCTCTCTGGATCCTGATCCATAGTCATCTGCTTATTAATGAACCTCAAATAGGCATTTGCTGAGCAGAACCCTTTGCTGGGCTCCAGTCCTGTGTGTCCAACCATCTAATGGACTTTTTGACCCAATGTCCTATAGATGCTTGTAACCCATTCATTTCTCCACCATTTCTTTTTTCTTTTCCTTTTCTTTATTTTCTTTTTCTTTTTCTTTTTTTTTTTTTTTTTTTTTTTTTTTTTTTTTTTTTTTTTTTTTTTTGAGACAGAGTCTTGCTTTGTTGCCCCAGCTGGAGTGCGGTGGCATGATCTTGGCTCACTGCAACCTCCACCTCCCGGGTTCAAACAATTCTCCTGCCTCAGCCTCCTAAGTAGCTGGGATTACAGGTATGAGTCACTGTGCTGAACCCACCTCTATTCCTTTTTCAGTGAAGGACACTGCTGATCACCCTGTCTCCCTTGCTATGCTATTCCCTTTGCACAGATTGCTCTACCTTTTCTTAATCTAGCAAACTCCATTTATCCATCTACATCCAGCTCAAGCGTTAGAGTCTCAGGAGAGCCTCTGGAAGCTGAGTTCCTGGATAACCGTGCCATACCTTTTCATTCCCAGACTTTCCACATCTTTCCCTTCCTCACTTTTGGCAAATGTTGGCTGGTTCCCCTTTACACAAGGGGAATAGAAGCAACTGGAAGAACTCTTTCAGACACCCTTGCCATCCCCTCTGCTGACCTAGCTACATCTCCTGCATATTGGCCTCTCCCCTCTGTGCTCGGGGGAACTCGCTATGCCCCTCCCTGGCTAAGGTGACACCCTGGCTGAGATGCTCTAGCCCCTTCCGCTGTTGCCTGCCCAATGGCATTTCTCCAGCAATTCTCCCTCTCTGTCCTGCACCATCAATTTCAGTCCAGGATAAGGGAGGATAGAATTTTCAGGAAGCAGGATGGAGGAGGGTTGGTGAACAGCACCACTGGCCTTGACTAGCCTGCTCCTGGCCACACATACTGGTTGTTTCTCTGGAGAGAGCACTGTATTCACTGAGATGAGCAACTGGAGAACTACCAGCAGCCATCCCCTCCCTTTGTGCCTCACAGCCCCAGTGACTGATGGAGATGGAGATGGGATCCTTGGCTGCCTTCATGGAGTTGTTTAAGGAGCACTTAGAAGATGCTTTATGGGGCTGGGCGCAGTGGCTCAGGCCTGTAATCTCAGCACTTTGGGAGGCCGAGGTGGGCAGATCACAAGCTCAGGAGATGAGAGCATCCTGGCTAACACAGTGAAACCCCGTCTCTACTAAAAATACAAAAAATTAGCCGGGTGTGATGGCGGGCACCTGTAGTCCCAGCTACTCGGGAGACTGAGGCAGGAGAAAGGCGTGAACCTGGGAGGCGGAGCTTGCAGTGAGCCAAGATCCGGCCACTGCACTCCAGCCTGCAGCCTGGGCGACAGAGCCAAACTCCATCTCAAAAAAAAAAAAAAAAAAAAAAAAAAAAGAAGAAGATGCCTTATGGGTGTCCCTACAATTTCACCATCAGAAGAGTAGTTCCGTTAGGTTGAAATTTGTCTTTTTACTCAACCTCTTCTAAAATTACAAATCATCCCTGGAAAGGATAACACATCAAGTCATACATACTTTTTCCTGTGCTTTTTCTCATGGAGTGCAGTGCAAGACAAGACATCCAGGTGCTCAGGCTGCTGAATGAGATGGTGTGGAGTGGGTGGTAGAAGTGAAGAAAGGAGTAGGTGGGAGCAATCAACTATTTGCTTGCTTGATTCCACAAACAGGAGGCTTCTTTTCTCTTTACCTAACCTTTGGCTGTTTAACTTTGCAAGGTTATGTGGGAAACAAAAATCCTTAATACAGAAACATTAGCAAATGTATCACTTATAAAAGGCGTACCATCAGGCCTTCCCCTCCTTAGCACTACAGTCTCTCTCCCTGCCTCATCTAGTTTTGTGGATCAGTCTTGTGATGCCTGAGAGTCAATGTAAACACTATGCGAACTGTCCTCGAACTTTAATTGATGATCTTGACAAACATCCGGGATTCCGTGAAGTTGGTAAGAGAGGTGTCACAGAACTGCTAAAATAACATTTCAACTATTGATGAAAGAGCATGGAGCAGAGTTAGACCGGTTAGCAGCTGAATCAGAGGAAAATAAACAAGGATGATGATGAGATGGGAGCTTCCAAAAAGAAGCGTTTTAATATCAAATGTTGAAGAGAGGCTCTTGGGAAAACTGCTGAAGTCTTTAGATATTTTTGCAAAAATTACCCACTTTTTGATATTCAGCAAAAGTAACCATTAAGTAAAGACAGAAAAATTGGCCGGGTACAGTGGCTCATGCCTGCAATCCCAGTACTTTGGGAGGCCGAGGTGAGCAGATCACCTGAGGTCAGGAGTTTGAGACCAGCCTGGCCAACATGGTGAAACCCCATCTCTACTAAAAATACAAAAATTAGCTGGGTGTGGTGGCAGGCACCTGTAATCCCAGCTACATGGGAGGCTGAGGCAGGAGAATTGCTTGAATCTGGGAGGCGGAGGTTGCAGTAAGCTGAGATCGGGCCACTACTCTCCAGCCTGGGTGACAGAGTGAGACTCCATCACAAAAAAAAAAAAAAAAAAAAAAAAGAAAAAGAAAAATTATGCCAAAAAATTAAGTATTTTTGTGGCTTAAAAGAACAATGTATTATCATTTCTCAAGGCTCCATGGGTTGATTGAGCTCAGTTTCTCATTGGTGTCTCTTGTAGTTGCAGTGAGTTGTTGGCTGAGGCAGAAGCCACCTGAAGGCTTGACTGGGCAGGGCAGTCGAGGTGGTGCACTCACAAGAACGGTCATTGCCTGAGGCTCAGCTGGAAAGGTGGACCTGGGTTCCTATACAAGGCCCTTTGATGTGGTTTGGGTTTCTTACAACACGGTGATTGTGTTCTGGAAGGAAGTCTCCTGAGAATTAGCTTTTCCTGAAGGCCAAAAATCAACTATTGGGGTCTTATTAGCTTAAAGTTATTGGCATGTTGTTGAAATTATAATGAGTTTTAGTAAAGCAAAATTAAAACAATTTTCATGATTTTAATTTCACTTTTTCCACAATTTTCTATGAAATGTTGGCCCTCATTTTAACAAGATTCCTTTTTAACAATCTTTTACTAAAACCAGTCATTCATGCATAAGAAGATCCTCTTACACTAATTATTTAAATGTGTACATATACATATTAATACAAAGGGTTGAATGGTTAAAGCAGATTCAGAGTGACTTACAGATCTTACTCAACATGAAATTAATGATTCAAATGATAAGAGCCCAGTGCCAGGCACAAATGAAACACTCTTTTCTTGAGGAGACCAGCAGTTTTAATTGTTTCTGGGTTTTTTTTTTTTTAGTCAAAATTCTCATTTTGTTTCTGGACTGTTTTCCAAATGTCATTTAGTTTTCTATGTGTGCTTTTTGTGATTCCCTGAACTTCTTTAGGAGGATTATTCTGAATTCTCTGCCAGACGTTTCATAGATCTTCAATTCTTCTGGGTCCATTGCTACAGCTTTGTTATCTCTTTTGATCGTGTCGTTTTCCTGTGAGTTTTCACAGTCCTTACACTTCACGTCGATCCCTGTGCAATTGAGAAGACAGCCACCTCTGCCAGTTTTTCAAGTGTTCTTCGGTGGTGTCAGAGCTTTGCTACTTAGTATTGGAACTTAAACTCTGGTCTGTTCTTTCTTCCTGTTCTGAGTGAGACTTGCATTGAGCACTGGAACTTAAACATTGCCCTGGAACTATCCTGCTGCTCTGTCAACATTTCCCAGTCCGGGGAAGATGTAAGTGGGTATCAGAACTTAATCTTGAGCTTTTTGTAGTTTCCAGGCCAGGGGAGGGCTCTCGAGTATACCTGGGCTCTGTGGAAAATGCAGCCAGGATTTGGACCTCCCTGTGGATTGTGCCAGCGAGTCCCTTCACCATGGTGTCCCCACTGATCAGAGCTCAGAGTACACCAGTGCGCCTGTTGCTGCAATCAGTGCTTGGCTTTGTGTCCCCAGTTCACCCCAGGTCGTTCAGCCATCCTGGCATTCCCAGTGGTTCCTGTGGGACGGGGCCAGAGTGGGCGTCCCATGAAGATTACCAGATTAGTGGGGAGGTAAAATGTTCACCTCTAATTCCCTGCTGTCACCTTGGAAAACATGGATCTAGAGACATTCTCCGAGTGGCATTATACCTGCTGGGGGTGGTGGCACAGTCCAAATTGATTGTTTCTCTTACCAGTCCTGGCCTCTTTCAATTCTGTGGACCCAGGGTTTTTCAGCTTCTCCCCAAAGTTCTGGTGAATTTAGGGTGGCGTTCTTGTCTTTGAATAGCTGGAATATATTTCTGTGGGGGAAATGGTTCCAGAGAATCTTCTATTCTGCCATCTTGTTGAGCTCCCCCAAAATGTCCCCTTCTCCTACCTTGGCACACACTTTAGTTTCATGTTGACTGATGAGTTTTGAGCAACGTATATGAAGAAACATTGTTCTCCAAGGAAACTGGTGAAAGTTTGGGGGTGCCTCCATTTTGCACGTTGTTCATTACATGGGTAGAATACACTTACGTGACTACCCGTATCCCTTCTCCAGCGTCCCTGCCCCATAAATCTATAAATCCCAAATTTATTTATAATAAACAATTTTGACAGATTAGGTATATCCTGCTGGAGATAGGACTAGTTCACTGAGTATAACGTTTCTACAGAGCAGTCTGATGGAGGTCTTCAGCATCTTTGCAAGGTGCTCTGGTTGTGAATATTGTTTGTGCAGGCATTCCTGTGGGGAAAGAGTGATTTGCAGGCTTGATGCTCACATTCCCTGTATGGTGCCTTTTGACCAACACCAGCCTGTCAACGCCTGAGGCAGAGGCCTCAGGAATGAGAAAACAGCACTAGAAGCCTGACTGTCTACTTAGTAGCTTGGCAAGTGTCAACAAGTTAATCTCCGCGACTGGTGACTTAGTTGGAGTTCCACCCAAAGCAGATCCCAAGACAAGGATTTAGTGCAAGTAATTCATGTAGGCGCCATCCAGAGGAGCATGGGAGAGAGTGGGGAATTTAGACAGGGAAAGGAGGAAGTTAGCAAAGGGTGAGTGAAGGAGAACAAGGGCCTAGGATAGTGAGGTCCCACCTCAGAACTGCCCTCCTGGAAGGGCGAAGGAGCCGTGGCGCTGACCTCCACTTCCTGCCTCT